AAGTTAATTAGTTCAAAATTGAGACTGAGCAATATCTTCATGCTAGTCTTCATTCAGTCATGTCTGTAACTCCTGGGCAGCCAAATCCTATATTGCATAACAATATTGAGGCAGGAGAATTTTTTAAAAGCTATAGCTCTTTTTCTGCATAGTAACTAAAAACACAAAATCACAAATGCTGCTCTTGTAATTGCCAGTGGCAGAATTCTGTATCTGATCTACTGGAGCGTCTAAAATCAAACGCATAAGAGAGATTCTGCAATTGTGTATGAATTTTTCATCTACAAAATGGTTCCTGTCATCTTTCATGTTGCATGACAGGAACGTGGTGCTTCATTTTGCAAAATGCTGAAAATTTTTCATTATTTTCAGGTCTACTTTGGAAATAGCAGCAATGGAAATGGATTCAAAATGTTTGATTCTTCAACTTTTCAGGGAAAAGACTTGATTTTTAAGGATTCTGCTGTTCAGATTGTGCCAGTAGAAGAGAGGAGAACATACGCAGAATGGCTGGGGAGTGAATATATTGACTCCCTTGAAGGGATGCAAACACCCCAGTGCTCTGGGGCAGGTAAAAAGATAACACAGTACTCACTCATGGCTACCATCCTTCCCCTGCTTGTTTTATGTCAGATACAAGGCTTGGACTAGCACAGTCCAAGTAGGAACTTCCAGGCCACCTCTGCCCTGCCACCTTCTCTTCAAAAAAGCTGCTGTCTGGATAACATGCTGTGCTACCATGTGAATGCCTCTTCCTGCCTCTTCGCAGGGCAAGTGCCAACAACACATGCTCACCAGGGAGTAGGGTAGGGCTGGAAGCTGCCCCTGTCTGTGTGGATGGGGTGGAATTTGGGGCAGAAACCAGCAACACAGTATCAGCATGGTTTACAAGATCAGTCTAAGACTGGAGCATCTCTGTCATTGTTGCTGATATTGAACCACCCAGGATTCCCAAGAACTGTTAGATGGATACTGGGTTTCTGACCTGTAGAAGAATTTCTTGAAAGGCAATATCAAAACTCGTGTCTAGTAAGTTCTCTAGTGGCCTCCTGGCTGCTTATGTTCAGACTCCACATCCCTGCTTTACCCATCCTACCCTGTTTCTCCTGAGCTCTGCTGCCACAGAGGTAAGTGCACGGAGAATGGACAGGTTGTGAACAGTGACCAGTCCAGCTTCTGCCATGGACAAAGTCGTCTATCTTCCAGCAGAAGAAAGTAGGGGAAATTTCCAAAGGCTGAAAAAGAAGCCCAGAGAGACTGGAAGGGGGACTATCCTTTGAGAAAAGAACAAAGCCAAACGTGAGCATCCACTGAGCTTATTGACTTTCCACACCCAGTGTTCTCATGGCTGGCCAGAGATGTCCTGTGATCTTCAGTTTGATGCAGCCTTCATCAAGAACGTCATGACTGTCCTCCTTCTACATGGGGCAATCCTGAGTGCCTTGTGCATGAAACTTGTATTTGCTGTAGGTGAAACAAAGTCCTTATTTCTGAATAGCCATTTCTACTGGCTGTAGCATTCAGGTTTTATTTTTATCCATAGCTGCACTAACCACAGATATTGCTGTGCTGCTGGCAGGCACTGTCCTCCTGACTATAGGGAGTCATGATCCTGGGATGAACAGATATTTGGTGTAATAAAAACCTGGTAAAGTCAGATAGTAATCATGTAAATAAGTGAAAATAGCAAATAAACATGAGAAGTAATTACACTGTAACCAGCCTGGTAGCTAAACTACTGCTTTTCTGGGACATGAACATTTATTTGCTTTTCCCTTTTGCTGCCCACTGTTCTGTTGCTGCCAGTCACTGGGGTTGGAGCAGGACACAGACTGATCCCACCAGCTGTGCTCAGTGGGGTGAGTGTGGCTGTGCAGGGAGCAGTGATGCCGTGCCCAGCACTCAAACCCTTGACTACTGCCCAGCTGTGGCCCCTCCTGTGTTTCTTCTCCTTGTGCTTTTGGTCAATTATGAAACAGCAGCTGAAGAGGATCTGGCATGCACCCAGGTGGCCAGGAAGGCCAGTAGCAGCCTGTCTGGCCAGTATCAGGAATAGTGTGGCCAGCAGGATCAGGGCAGTGATTGTCCCTTGCACTTGGAACTGGTGAGGCCAGGCCTTGAGTGCTGTGTCCACTTCTGGGCCCCTCAGGAAGGACACTGAAGTGCTGGGATGTACCCAGAGAAGGGTCTGGAGCACCAGTCCCATGAGGAGCGGCTGAGGGGCTGGGGATGTTCGGCCTGGAGGAGGCTCCAGGGTGACCTTTTCCCACTCTACAACTCCCTGTCAGGAGGTGGAAACCTGGTGCGGGTGGGGCTCTTCTCCCAGGCCGTGACAGGACGAGAGAAAGTACTGATAGATAGAACTCATACTCTCAAACTCTGCCAGGGGAGTTCAGGACGGACATCAGGAGGAATTCACAGAAAGGGTGATTAGACACTGGAATGGATTGCCCGGGAGGTGCTGGAGTCACCGTCCCTGGAAGTATTTGAGGAAAGCCTGGACGTGGCGCTCCGTGCCGTGGTGTGGCTGACACGGTGGTGTTGGGCCGTGGTTGGACTCGGTGATCCCGGAGCCATTTGCGGCCTCATTGATCCCGGGATCCCGTCAGTTTCAGCCGGCGCGAGGCGGGCGCTGCGCATGC